ATTATTTGAACGCTGGAAATAATCGCTGTCGTGACTGTCAGGTTGTCAGGAGAATAACGAAGATAATAACGCACGTGACATTTGACGGAAAGGAAGCGTACCACTTTTCTTAAAAGACGGGGTCCCTCCCAAAGAAACGCCGCGAAGTTTGACAGGTGTTCAACAGGTGAGTTCGTGATTTACGATCAGGAAAAGTAAAGTAAGGGTGAAATGATAAAAATATCGTTCGATCGACGAGATGCTTCCTCACCTTTTGTTCTCATCCAATCAACAGGTTGACCGCCGAGTGGATGGTCCTTAGCTTGATTGGCATCCCTATCGCAGTAGCACGCGACGTCGTGGCGCGCACACACTTTTTTCGTCGAGCACCGATTCGCGGAAACTGCGTTTCATGAGCGCGCGACAGACTGCCGCGATGCTACGGAATGATTTACGGCGCATGCGTACTTCCCCACCGCTAGATCGCGAATTCTCTCGATCCTTGTTATTCCCCCGCGAAAAGGGAACGTCTTTCTCTCCTTATACCGATTTTCACTCTTTCTCTACTCCTTCTTTTGTTCGCAGACGGCGAAATTCTTATCTAAATAAAAATTTCGAGTAACCTCATTGCGCTGAAATGACGTGCCACTCGCGTCGGGAGTCTTTTATCCTAGAATTAGATTCGGTGATGGGCGAAATAAAATTGTACTCATATTTCTTTTCATTTTTATCTAATATTTATTTTCATCCTGTTTTTCTCACTCTCTATCTATCTATCTCTATGTTTCATCTCGCGATTACCGTTTCTTATCATTTAGAAGTTCTGTTTTTTTCATTTAGTAAATACAAACTTGAATTCTTAGGAACATAGAGATTGTAATCGCAAACCCCCGCATAGGAAAATTTGAAATTCTATTGTTAATATCTATGCATGATTGCGCGAAATGTTGAATAAATTTGACATTCGATAAATTTGTATTAGAATTTGTTGATATCGGTTCTCAGTCACCCGTATTTCACGATGTACATTAAATTCTAGACACGTTGAGTCTACTACGCGTTATCGTTACCAACTTGATATCATTGTTAAAGAATATTTCCAAATATATGTACATGTTATATATAAATAAAGTTGTACTATCATACTTTAATGGAATATACAGGAATCATTGACCTCCTCGTTAATTCGTTAATCAGATATAGAAATTAATTAAATTACTAAACTAGTAATTGAATTATTCGATCGACAAGTCCTTTCTTTTCAGAGTCACTTAAAAACGTTGATGAAAATTCGACGGTTGCGTTGGCTGGGCAGTAGAGTAAACCATTCCGGGCGGCTGTTGATGGGTCATCGCGTGGCTCTGATGCTGATGGAATTCTGGAGCTCCGTGTGGTCCGTTGAGCCTTACACGTTTTGGGTTTTGTCCGTGATTATGGTCACCGTTTCCTTGCTGCTGTTGGTTCTGCTGCTACAATGTCATGATATCGGTTAGAGAAAGTCAGTGAAATACGTTAACGAGTATACTTACCGTTTGTTGTTGATTTTGTCGCGCTTTGTTTTCAGTCTTTTCCTCTGTGTCATCATCCGTTAGGAATTCCCTCTTGGGGTAGGGAATAGGGCATCCAGCAAATATACTGAAACGTTATAATATTTATTAAATTAATAAACAAACAGTGAACATATTAAAAAAATGTACAAGCTAAAAACATACTCTTGAGTTGGCAGTGGTTCCTCTTGAAAGTAGGCGTCTTGCATAGAATGTTCCGACGTTATTCGTTTATTAGGATCCATCATTAATAGTTTTTGAAGCTAAAATAGCTAAATTAATGTCATTGTCCAAAGAAACGATTTTAGTAAATAGAGTATTTCGTTGAATCGTACCAAATTAAATGCCTTGCTGTCGGGTTTAATTTTGTGCCGATCCATATATTTTGTGAGAGAACAGTTTGCGTAACTGCGGTAAGACAAACACCGTTATCAAATTTGCGTTAGAATTTTTTTATAACTTTATTTTTATACGAATACTTACTTTGATCTTTTAAAATCTTTTAATAACGTGGGATGTTCGGGCATTTTCTTAATATCCTCCCAATCCTTTTCTAAGGGAAATCCCATCACATTGAATATCCTGGACATTAAATAATTTCAATCTTTTATCATTTTCTAATTAAATTACATATAGAAAACCTTATGGTAATAATGTTAATACCTATCCAATTGATCATGATGATACGGATTACTAGTTTTAATATCTTCCTGTCTACAATGAAATATGGGTTCAGATGTTAATAGTTCCGCGAATATACAACCGATAGCCCAGATGTCTGAAGGATAAAAGAAAGAACATAAAGAGACAATGTAAGATTAAAGTAACTGTATTTTATAATTATAGTTTTATACCTATAGCTTTTGTGTAATGTCTAGCACCTAAAAGTAACTCCGGTGCTCTATACCAAAAGGTTACTACAACTGGATCTAAATCTGCAAGAGGCTTCAAAGGAGCATTAAATAATCTAGCAAAACCCATATCTGCAATTTTTACACGACCTCTCTCATTTCCTTCTCCCATTACTAAAATGTTTGCTGGTTTCTAAAATATGACAAACATTTTTGTTAATTGTATATGACTAATGTGTACGATACCTGTATGAAATAATAATTACCAAATCCCTATGAAGCACCCAGTTGGAATGTAGATAATGAATACCATCAAGAATCTGATACAATAAGGACTTTACCATACCCTTTGGCACCATAACAGGTTTTTTATTAGCTTTTGCTGCTCTATGAAATTTTATTATGTGCTATATAAAAAAACAGAATTATTAATATTCTTCTATATAACCTACAAGAATAAATGACATACCTAGAAGATCAATCTGATCAATATAAACATACCCATAAGTCGTGTTCCGCAAAATCAAACAATAACCATACTTTGCGATCATTATGAGACAAGAAAACTCTAATTAAAGTAATCACATTAACATGTTTTAGTTCCCTAAGTAACTGCAAAACAGAATCAATCAAAACATATGCATAATTTCTGCATTAAAGAAGATAAATATATACTTACTGCAATTTCACGACACGCAGACATTGAAAGACCTGTACCTTCAATTTGTTTCAGGCCAAAATCCTTAGTATCTGGCCTAGATTTTAATTCACTATCTGGTACACTATTAAAATTTGAAAACAGTGAAATAGAAAAACTTCATTCATCAATAAATTATACTATTTAATATACACTACACTGAATACAATAGTTGATACTATGTTACATCCATAATAGGATACAATGAGTTACTACTATTTTTTACAGACAAATGGCAATTACAACACAAGTAGCAACAATGTGAAGAGAGTTTGAAACTATAAAAACATTTCAGTAAAACATTTTGGGCAAAAATTCCAGTAGAATGTACAATTGTCCAACGATGAAACGTAGTTTGCGACCATTTCTTCGGTGAAAGAAGACATTAAAAGAGAAAATGCTACGCGATCCCTGCGTAGGTTAGAAACACTAACCCTTCCTTCCTACGAGCTTTATAGACGTGTCCATAGGTCCCTCTTCCAACTTTACACCCTTCGAACTCGAAAAGATCTTCAACCTTCGTTCGATCTTTCTGAGTTTTCATTTTAAATTCGTAATCCATCATGTTTAATGTTATCGGGACAAATATCAACTATAAACAAACATGTTTAACTTGCGTACGCACAGAGTGATCAACTTTCGCGCATACTCCTACCGCATTATTTGTCATGGTATTGAATGGTATCAAAATTTCTTCATAATTGGCAACAGACTTTGATTATAAATTCTTTTAAGGAATCAACGTAAATTATAATTAAATGCTTTAATCGTTGAAATTATTCTGTTTACTATAACCGTTTGAAAGAATGTTTACTGTTAACGGTCATAGATATAAACGACATAAATCATCCCTGGAAACATGTAACTCAATTAGTTTACTTATCACAGATAGCATCAACAATCCTGCATCTGTTTAAAATTATTATAAGCATAATTACAATATGCAATATATCGATTATATGCGATAAAATTAATTATTAAAATGTTATAGTTTGAATATTCCCGCGCATTCCTTTTATAGGTTATGTTTTCTCTTTCATGTTATTAG